GTGCTGCTCACAGCTTGCTGCACCGCGACAGCCAGAGTCGCCCACCACCGTCTCGTCCAGGCGGAGGTGGCTGCGGCTCGCAGTGACGAACTGCTGCGCTGCTTCGTTCCAGCGCCCGCCTATCTCGGAGCCGAGCACGAGGAGCCGCTGCGGGCCTCCGGAGCTGAGCTCTGGGTGGGCGGCTCGCTTTCGCCGTTCTGCAACCCGCACCATGGCACCATCGTGCGCCACGGTGCCGGGTTGTGGCTGGCCCGTTCGGGTCAGCGGCGACACAAGAGTCGCGTCGCAGCACGAGGCTCCTCCCGTAAGCGATGCGCCGTAGATGACCAAGTCAAGACGGCGTCTGTTGTCTGGCGCAACGCCGGGAGCAGTGGTGGCGCAGAGCTACTGCTGCGGAGCCACCTGGCCGTCTGCTCCAACCGCTTCGCGAGCAACTCACACCCACGCCCGTTCGATGATCTTGGCTCGCCAAGCCAAGAGCCCGGGAGGCGTAGACGGCGGCGCAACGCAAGCTGCATGGCTTGCGGGGACAGCGTGAGCGCGCAGGCGCTGGGCGACATGTCTGGTAGCAACGTGCGCTCGCGGAAGCGTAGGTAGCGAGTGCGCGAGGCACTGTGCTGCCAGCCATGCGGCCAGTCACCGAGGCCCCTGTCAGTCGCCACTGATGGGCGGGCGCCATCCGCGATTGCTCGCCAGGACGGGCATTCCTGCCAGCCTGCAGCTTGAAGGAGGTTGCGTGCCACCGCTGCACTACGGAGGCAAGTCGTTTCTGCGTCCCTTCCCTCCAGTTGGCGGACGCATGCCTCGGCCAAAGCCGGGGCGCGCTCGCCAAGCACAGGGAGTGCGTCAGCTCATGCCACCCAGTACGCTGCAGGCGCGGTACGGACCGCGCTGGCTAAGCCGAGGCCGCCAGACGCAACTCCGCCGAGGCAGGCCTGCAAGGTCTCCCATACGGCGTCGTCATGGGTCTGGCCGTAGCCGACTATGTCGAGCGGTGGCACCGTGCGGAGCGCGTGGTTGGCCCGCGGCGAGGCATACATAGCGAGGAGGAGCTACGCACATTGTAAGTCGGGAGGCGGGGCAAGTGGTTCAAAAGCTCTCGTTCAGTGAGCGTCCTTCTTTCCGCTCATGATGCGATGAAGTGCGGGTGGCCGATGGGTGTGCCCAGGACTTTCAAGCCGCGCTCGGAGGGTGGCTTGTTTCCCCGCCAGACGTCAGCACCCAGCTCGGCGATTCCTGGTGGGAGCTCCCCGCCGGCATGACTGTACACCCGAGACTTGCCCTCATTGGAAGCTAAATGCCGAATCCTGCCTGCACTGCCTGCACCACGTTGTCGCGAGCCTCGCATGCACGCTCCCGTGTGGTCAGGACGTACAAGTCATCGAGGAACGCTAGGAGTCGCTCGGAAGAATGGAGTGCGGACGCAGCCTGGCATAAAGCGGCATGTTGGCCGAGAGCGATAAGCGCCGGAGCCAGCGGGTCGCCTTGTTCGCACCCTTCTCCTTGGGTGATATCGCGGCATTGCCCCGAAAAAAAAAAAACGTCCCACCAGCAGTATATGGAAGGACGGCTTTCAGCCAGTCGGACCGTGCGAGGCACAGAGTAGCAACCGAAGGTTGCACGCAACCATTTAGCTTGCAAGTCATTGCGTCATCCGTGTCCGCATGCTCTTAGTCAAGGATTGCGTGGGCATTCAAAGATTAACGAGCTCAGGGTCCGAGACAACAGGCCGCTGGAACCCCGCAGCGCGGTGCTTTGCATGTTCGCGCCGGCGAAGTAAAGCTATCGCCAACGGGTTGCCCCTCGTGGGGCGGACTACAGCACGCCGTTGACACTGCCCTCGATGCCATTGGCCGCCCACCAGCACAACACTGTCGATGCCTCCCTCGGCATCGCACGCGCAAACAAAGAAGCGCGCCTAGGCACAGCTTCTGCGTGCCGATTCGTCCGAGATGTTGGTGAGGAGCGCGGTCCAGCGTCCAGCCACCTGCACCTGCGGCCCCAAGCCGGGACCGTGTGACGACAGACTAGTAAGAGGTAGCACGTCCAACAAAGTAGTGGGCAGGTGCGAAAGTCCGTTGGAAAATAGTTTGGGAATGTTTTGCCAAACACTGTCAACGCCTCTCTCCTGTGTCAGTGTGTCCGTTTTTATCCTTCTTCCAGAAATCCCTCCGTTTCGGCGCGCTGGGTTTTGAGGACGAAGTGCTGCGTAGCAAGGAGCACATGTTGCATATGTGTTGCCGCCCAGGTTTGATCCAAGGCCAAGGGTGCATCGGTGAAATGCTTCACGTAAACAGTATTTGTTTTGGAAACAGCTGCAGGTCTGGCTTTGGCTACTGAGCCGCGGCGCCAAATCTAGTAGTGCATGGGGGGACAAGCTTGGGTTGGTGACGCTGTCTCCGCGTGTGTCCATCCGAGGATGTATTTCCTGGTCATGGAATACACCTCGTCAATACTATTTCGCAACCTTGCCTTTACGAGATATCAAGGGCTGGAGGCCGGAGAATGGGAAGGTTTCGAGAACAGTGACGCTGCTGTGCCTGCCCGGTTTCCCTGAATGTGTACTGCGCGCTGTGGGTGTGGGTTCGGCAAGGTGTACGCGGAGAAGGCATCTTGGTAGCATCATGCGGATCAAATAGCTTAATAAAATGGGTCAACAGTTACCTGATGTGTTATGTTTCCGACCCAGGTGGCACCGCGGTGGGCTGGTGCCCCAACAGAAAGCGCAGGACAGGCAGAAACATGGGAAACAATTGCGCCGCTTACATGAATGCTGGAAAGTCGTACTACCATCGCAAATATGACATTAAATATGAGCCCTTACGGACTTCAGCGTTATCAGACCGGGAGATGTCAGTGCGCTTGGGCGAGGAGTGCTCCTGAGCGATGGTTCTTCCATCGTGCCGCTTTCCAAGGCACGTATGCTCAGCAGTGGAATCCATGTGGAAGCATTGATTGAGTTCAATCTGTTTTCCATAACTTGCCCGCTTGCCCCTCGCTTCTAGAAGTCGTTCTCACATATGGGTAGTTCTATAAATTAGGGTCCCGTTTGTGTCCCCGAAGTAGTAGGGCTGTTTTATACAAAGGGCCCTAAGTTGGAGAACTACCCACATATTGTTGTTGCTTGTTGGCATTCCCTCCAGCCCTGCTTTGAATTCTGTCCTTGCTCAAGCAACCGCCATCACCCGGAAGAAGGCTTTCCACATCGGTGGTTTACGATCCGAGTATGTGTGCCGAGAAATACCAGTATGTAGATGTGAGCTGGAGGCAAAAAGTTCTGTGGCATGCCGATTGGCCGCGATTTTGTTTCAGCTTGGCTCAAAATCGTACGTTGCTAAATCGCATGGTCGTACTAAAGTCCGTTCACTGCGTATGTGGTGGATTGCGGGAACCCACCCAGCTATGTAACCGTGTGCTTGTCAAATAACAGAACAACAAAACAGACATTTTGTTCATGTTGGACCCACGTGCTGGCATAATGCCTCACAGCGACCCCACACCCCACAGCAAGCACAACGAATTCGGGCACAGTCAAGCGGCTGAAAAATCGATGTTCTGGCCCCGCGCGATCCGCGCGCCGCGGTGATGTCGGATTCAGAGGCTATGTGAACATGCGTCGAAGCTTTCAGTCATTTGGAGGCGAAGAGATCGCTTGACAGGGGTTGGGCCAAAATGGGTCAAGATTGGTTAACGCAGGTTCATGCAGAGAGGGGGTAGTGCGGGTAGGTACAAGCTTACAGCCTGTGTACGGCGCGCAGTGTTTTGTCTATACAGTCTATTGCTTGTGAAAGGAAAATGTGCTGCCGCAACAACCTGCTTGCGAACCAGCTGTTGTGTCTCGGTTTGCGATTGAATGGGTGCCCTGATTGCGGTGACCTCCTGCCCAGCCCATTGCGCATGTACCGCTATGTCCTTCATCGTCAACATGTGGAGAATGCGTTTCCTCTGTTTTTGTCAGTCTAAGCATTTTGGCTTTCCATGCTTTAGTGGCCTTGAGGTCGGCATGCCGCTGGTGCAGGACAGTTCTTCATGGTTTTCACATGTTTTAAACGAAGTAGACTTGCTCGATGTGTCTGCTTGGCAAGAGCCAATAAAAATATCCGAACCTACAAGTTGTGAACACTGAAGTCGTAGGATTTAGCAAATTGTCCAGCATCCTGTGAGGAGGTCGTTGTGCAACCCATGGCCTGCATTGTCATTTCGACGGATGATGCATGGAGCTTCAGCTGCAGCTGTGCCGCGTCGGTTTTCACCGCAATCAAACCTGTGGACTAGGGCAGCCCGAGTTTGTATTGCTCGTATCTTCTGGTGTACCATATTCCCCCGGTAATTGTGCCGGTTGTTGGTGCCAGCTTCCTCGACAAGGAAGATGAGTTGTTGTTGTCTGACAGGTTGCTGTGGTGTGGTGGCCCGCCGCGTCACAAGAGGACAACCTCAGCCTCAGCCCACAAACGTGACAACACCTAGACCACCCACAAGACGAAGACTTGCAAATACACTTTACACTAAGCCTTAAACAAGACAAAGACTTGTCGATGCCTGAGGCTTTTACAGAAGCAGCGCTGCCAAGAGGTTGCAGACAGGCTTCTGGCCGACTTCCAGACTTTAGAGCAGCAGCTCCTTGGCGCTAAAGGGGTCTTAGGGGTGTCTAGGTTTAGGGGTTGAGGGGTCCGATCCCTGAGCCGCTATTTCAGGGATGTTTGCGGGTTTCGGGGTGGTGGCGCAGAGGGGTCCAGGGTGGCTGTGACCCCATTCCGAAAAAGTGGGGCCCCATAGCTGCGATCCAGCTTCGAGCCAACGGGCTGCAAGAATACTACTCAGAATGCTGATAACACTAGTGCCTCCAGCTGACACCTGCACACACCACACTTGAAAGGTCATGCGTAAATGGACAAGAAGTTTTCAAGTGGTGTAGGGGATATAGAAAGCAAAGAAAGGTTCAAGAGGCACTAGTGGGACGACATACGGGTAAATCTAGGTTCAAGCACAGAAAACCATCAGATCCTTCAAAGCCCTGACTCTCTCCGCGCTTGTTTCAACTCATGGAAGCAGTGCTGCAACGACACCACAGGGAGCCCCAAAGTGAGCCCTGCAAACGCCACTTGAGAAGAATCCTGCCCCCCCAAATTGCTGTGCACTTGAAACACCGAAATCCAACACTCTGACATCATCACCACAAGCCACCCGAAACTCTGAACCCAAACAACCCCTAGAAGCCCAAACCCTCGGAGCGCAATGCAGTCCCTAAGCCCTAGAATAAACACCGAGGCACCCGGATGTTTGCTCTATCGGCTCGCTGGGACATCCTTGGGGTTGCGCTTGGGCTTGTCGCTTTATGATGCTGGGCCGAAAAAAACTGGGGTCTTCAGGGTTTAGGGGTATAGCGCACCAGGAATAAGGAATTGGGAAGATGCTGGAGCGGATTTTGGTTGAAAGGGTTTCCAGGGTTTTGACACTGGGTCTGGATTCAAGAGAAGGTTGTTGAATTGTAAGGTTGAGCGATTGCAGGGTTTCTCGAACCCTGAGATTTCAGGATGTGGGTTGTAGAAGCTTTTAGCAGCTCTTAAGGCTTGTGGAAGTTTTTGAGTTTGGTTCGTTCAGTGTATGCGGTCTGCAAGGGCACACGGTCTTTGGGTCTTTGGGTGTGTGAAGGCCGAGGGGTTTGGGGCTTGCAACAAGTTTGAAGCTTTCGCTTGTTTCGGGGTTTGTAAAAGGGTTTACGGCTTCATGGTTTAGGACTGGTCAGGATTATGGACAGCAGGTTTCGGGTTTATGAGGCCTAAAACCCTAAACCCTAAACCCTCGAAGCGCGAGGGTTTCGTTGTTGAGCATGTTCAGGGTTCGCGCACGTTTGTGGTAGGGGCGGTAGTCGTAGGCTTCGCGAAATGTCCAGGGCCGTCGGTCTGAATGGGTTGTGGGGAGCTTTGCGGAGTTTTGGTGTTTTGGGGGTTGCGTTGGTTTCGGAGGGTTTGGAGAGATTAGGGCTTCAGGAACTACGGCCGTCGAAGGGGGGGGCGTTTATGAACTCAGCTTCCAAAGCACGGGATTTTTGGGGTGTTGCATGCCGTAAGGATGTCAAGTGTGTCAGGGCTTAGGGGGTCGAGAGATTTTGAGCAAATCACGGATTGTAGATTGTTAAGGGTGAGGGGCTCTACTTTCGTTCATGGACGACTCTGTTTTAGTCGTCGTTGCCCTTCTTACTTTCCTCAGGTCTAAAGCTCAGAACTAGGGTTTTGGGGGTTCAGGCTTCAAGGCTGAACGCATAGTTTTGGTTTCATGGTAGCCCTTGGTTTCCAGCCTTCGCAAGAAGGCTTTAACAACACGTGATGCGATTAGACCAGACAGTAAGAGACCGTATGCCACATGTCCGAAGATGCAAAGTTCGTGCCCCGAAACCAAACCCTAAAACGTAAAAACCCCAAATCCTAAACCCCAAAACTTAATACCGTAAACCCTAGACCCGAAAACTTAAAGCCCTCCAATCCCTAAGGAAGCGCGGAGCGGGTTGCGTGCACGGTCGCCAGTGCACTCGCTGCCATCTCTGCACCTGGTCGAAAGGCGTGCTGAAGATGGAGAAGAAGTGGAAGGTGCACAGAGTTTCGGGTGGTGAAGTAATGTTGCAGTAGGACGTTCATGGCAGGTCGAAGCGGACGGGTTACCATAAACCTCCAGAAACACACAGCTTGAAGCCGTCACCATTTGCTCCGAGTGGCAGGATGCGCAGCAAGCACCAGATGGCATGGCAGCCTCCATCGGCTCTAGAGGCACTTCAGGGTTTTAGGGCTTGGGGCAAAGATGGGTCTTGTTTCCCCACAGGGTAGCCAGGCGGGCAGACCCGGCCTTTGGTCTCCGGAGAAGCAGCTTCCGCGATCTTTGTTGCTCGTATTTGCTGCTTCTCGCAGATGCTGCTTCTCGCAGAAGGCCATCCAGAACACTGTGCCTGGGCTTGCCGCTTCATGAAGCGCGAAGCAGGCTGCATCAACAAGGAGCGGTGTACCAAAGCTTGCTGTGCGGCATTCGCATGCGAAGGCTGTTGTGCTTGATGCATGGCTTCTGAGTCGGGAGTCTGAATGCAGGTTTGGGCCTGGAGGTGTCGGATGGGGCCCGAACGACTCAACTTGAGGGAGGGTCCGTCTTGAAGGAGCTGTGCCCCCGCTGCCACCTCTGCACGTGGTCGAAGGCTGAGACAGTTTCATGAGAACTAGCTCGACGACCCGGTTCGCGACGTTTGCAAGTTCAGCCTAGCCGTCCCGGCTCCCTGCCATGTCCCAATCTCGAGCCACATCAGTAGTCCTTGCAGCTTTGTTTGCTGGGCTGACAGATTGAGCAGTGACCTGGCAGGCAACGTTGAAGAGGGAGCAGGCAGCCAAGAAGCTGCAGCAGGCTTCTGTCTCAGTGGCCTATGCGGGCATTCCGCAGCCTGTGCCCTTCATGGTACAAGCCATGGAGCAGCCAGGAACGAGCTCAGCTTTCCAAACCTGGCAGGGCGAAGCTGAAGGTTTCAAGGACGAAGCCGAAGCCGCCGGAAGTCAAAATCCAGACACCCGACCTGGCCTGGTAACCTCAAAGCAGGGCAGCAGCGATTGGGATGCTTCGGCTGAAGAGACTTCAGCCGTCGTACATTCGTCCGGGATGGTCTGGGGCCATGCGTTGAAAGAAGGGCTGGACGTGTCTTGTGCATTGCTGCTCCATTCCTCTCGATTTCATTGATCGGCTTGTTTTTGCGAACCAACTAAGGGGTCTTGGGCTCTCTGGGATGTAGCAGGCCAGCCTGAGCTTTCTGCAGGCATTGGAGGGGTCGCCATATTCGCACGGCTGGAATATTTCCGTGGAGATTGAGGCCGGGTTTGGATGCCGGCACAAGCGTTCCTGGACAGCCTTCTGCCAACCCGGATCCCGCATGTCCCAAGCCAATGAACAAATAAGAAGGCGCCTCGCACGAACCTCTCTGCACTTGGCGGCGAGCCGCGGCTTGGTGGCATCACGGAATCCATCGGTTTGTTGAAGGGCTGCTCAGAAGCTACTGTAGTTTTGCGGCCGGGACTTTGTGTCATCTTTGGAAGCTCAGAGGGGGCGGCCATGCAGATTGGAGCCGAGGTTCAATCTGCGGGACATCTCTCAGGCTCCTCAGTTCCCAATCTCTCGCATGACATGTGCATGTGAGGTTTAGTCTCGAGTTGAACTTCTGGTTCTGGTCGCTCTTTCTCTCAAGCGGTGCTTCCACGCCTGCCTCTCTCCTAGGAGTATCTGCCGGACTTCTCGCACGATGAGGGCATCGCCTTCCTTAGCGAGTTTGTCGCAGGCCGTTTTGACCCGTCGTCCTTGAACATCAGCAGAGCGACGGCTAGCATGGTGGTGGTAGGGGTGGTGATTGTGTTTTCCTGCGCTGTGCGGTGTCGGCGGTAGTGGTGATGCGTCTCGCAAGGAGTGAGATCAGTATCGGGCAAACTGAGGCTAAGAGAAACTTCGCGGCACATGTGGCGATGGGGTGGGGTTGTTGGGTTTCCGTGCCCATAGAAAACGTTGAATGTTGATCTGACTTCATCTTCAAGCGGCTGGTGGGTCTGGTGCCGCAGAGCAAAGAGTGGAGAGGTGTAGAAGCGCTGCCTGAGAGGCAGCTCCATCGTGATGTGGGTGCCGTGGCCTCAGAGAGGCTCCAAAGAGCCTGCCTGATCGTGTGCAGTTATTTGGCTTTAAACCCTAAACCCAAAAGGCATTAGGGCCCTTGGGCTCAGCATGGAGACTCTTTACAAGTTCAGTGTCGGGAGTCCAAGTTTTCAAGTTTGGCAAGACCGAGGCTGATCGTACTTCTGCCTTTGTTCGTCTCCTTTCGTGGAAAGAAGCGGCCCTATGTCGCGGCCATGGCCTTGCGAGCCTCAGTTTAAGGCTTTCCACCACAACATTGTGGCATTCTGGATGTGGTCAAAGTTGGCTCTTGCAAATCTTGACAGCTCGGCAAAGCACACGAATTCCATCGTTCACCCTTCCCAGCGATGTCACCTTGAACAGCACTCAGGAACGCTGCGGGCGGCCTTCGTAGTGCACATTCTGCGAGCCACTCGAATTCGAATTTGTCGCGTTCATAAACATTCACTTGCAATCTAGCTGTGCCTGAGATCTAAGCAGCCTGCTGTAGTAGTTGTAGTGGCCTGGCCGAGTCTTTGTGATGAGAAATGCTTGCAGCTGTGGAAAGAGACCTGTGCTGTGAACATGGAACCAGTTGCGAAGTGGGTTCAGAGCTTAGGAGATAGGGCCAAGGGTGTGTTTCTGCAGCTCTCCGATCAGATACCCACCTACCTGACGACCACCCTGCCTGGAGCGGCTCCGCACTGCCAGCGCGGGGCCCTAGCGCCTGGTTTTTGAGAGGACCATCAGTTTCAGCCAATTTTGCCAAGAGTGCTAAGGCAGTCGTTGCTTCAGCACTCCGACTCAACCCTAAACCCTAAAATGCACCTGAGAGAGCCAAGGAGTGTGAGGTGGCCTTCGAATTTTCCCAGGCCAAAAGGTGGTTGGGAGGCTCGGGGGAACTCCGTGTGAAGTCGCCGCACCTGTGGTGGCTTCAATGTTGGATGCATGTTGACGTATCATGTCCAAACGATAAGAGCAATAAGAGCACAACAACTAACGGCCAGGAGAACCAGAAGCACCTGCGTACGGCACCTCAGTTGCAGAAGTGTAGAAGCCGGCGGCAAGTCCCTTTGGTCCCGCTTCCGGCCTTGGTGCCGTAATTTGATGCATCGCTGAAGCTCGCAGCTAGCAAGCTATTCGTTTTCATGCTGTGCACTTGAACTCAAGGAGTTGATGGGCAAGTCCTGCCTCGGTCACACCCATTTTGTTGGCTTCATCTCTCCGAAGTTTATGTGTTCTTTTGACCAGATGCTGATCCGCAGTGTTGAGGATCAAGCCGTTTTGGCTCGTGGATTTGCCAAACGCAGTTCTCCAAATTAGGGTCCCTGTACAGGTCCTCAATATAGTCGCTTTCCGTGCCGAAGTGGCCACCAACCGGACGATGGCAACCTCAATGCCGGAAGTGCTCGTTGTGGTATGAGAACCTGCCGGGGAAAATTCAAGGCGAAGTTTGGATGGCCTTGGCTTGAAAAGTTGTGATGGTCAACGTGGCCTGCAGGGCTGGGCTCCGGGAAGCTTATCACCAGAGGTGGTTGGTGGCTTTGGCCAATTTGACTGATATTTCCAAAATTCCTATACTGGCCTCTGGTGAAGTACCCTTGACTGTTACCATGACCACGGCTGGACAACCGAGAATTTTCACATCCCAGCTTTGGGTCATGTTTGCACCCAGGTCAAAGTGGCAAAGAAGTCGCCAAAGCAGCCTGTGAGAATCCGGAGCTTTGCGCTACCCTCCGCAGATCGGCACCTACAAAGAAGGTAGTTGCATCTGGATCGACGACCACGCGAGGTGCGATCGAGGTGCCAGTGAAAGGCATGAGCAGTACAACGAGATTTTTGGCGACTGAGGTGCGACGGCACTGACGGGCCCAAGTTGACACAAAAATGTGGTGCTCCTTCGTGTCACAATTTAGGGGTATCCTGAACCGACTGCAGTCCACCAAAGTGAACTGCCAGAACCACATGTTCCATCATCCGTTGGTGAGGGTCAACACCAGCAGCAGCCCAAAACTCTACTTCTTCATAGAAGGGTTTTAGGATTCAAGCACGGTGCGACTTGGTCACCTGGGTGGGCGGGAAACCCCTAAGCAAATCCCTCCCGTTCACGTTTCTCTCAATGCTGAGGTGTGGGACTTGTTCTCTAGCACGTCGCTCGGATGGCAGTGGATGCTCTGGTTCATGTAAGGGCCATGAGAGCTAGAGTATCCCTGATGAAGGAAATTGTTCTCTGCTGCCAGCGGAAAAGGGATGATAATGTAATAGACACAAAACATGTTGACAACAGGTCATTAAGATTACGATGGTTAGTAGCAATGTAAGAAGAGCACTTTGGGGCATATTATTATGCTTTCATTATATACTTTGCAGGAACTCTTCGGTAACAGTGCTGGTAGGTATCTAAGCCCCTATGTTAGCCTCGTGATGCCGGTATCGCTTTCGCACTTGGTCTAGACACTGGCCGACAGAAGCTACCCGAAACCCTAAACCCTAGCAATTGCTAGTTCTCAGCCATGCGAGAGGGTGAAAACTGCAATTGTTGGCAATGTACGGCATCATGCCTCCTTGTTTCAGGTACAACCTCACACACAACAGCAACTGTGGCGATTTGGTTTTCAGTGGCCACACGGACGGGGCCTCAGTTTCCTGCGCAGATCTTCTCGAAACCCCAAGCCCTGCAACTCGCGTAAGCCCCAAACCTCTTATAAGTCTTAACCCTAAACCCCGCAAGCCCCATCCGTTCAGAGAGGCCCGGGCGTGCAGGATTATACGGAGGCTTCAGGAGAGGTTAGGGTTTGAGGTTAAGGGTTTAGGGTTCAGGGATTGAGAACATCCAAAAGCATCCATCCACAAGCATCTTGAAGAGACGGTCAGGCTTCGAACTAAAAAACAGTCAGGCAAAGCCACCCTGCTAGTTAGAACATATGAAAGCAGCATGCACAGACCATCATACAAGAGCCACTGCCGCTCAAAAACGCCGGTGACAGCGAAGCCTGCGCTTTTGTTAGGTCCCATTGCAAGTCTTTTGTTAGACTTCGGGGTATCGGGGCAAGGGTTCAGGGATCAAGGGCTATGGTTTAAGGGTTTAAGGTTTAGGGACGGTTTAGGGTTTAGGGCTGCAGGTGACCACTGCCACGCTCCTGGTGGCAGTGACGCTCGACGGCAGAATTTTGGAGTCGGAATAGTTAGTCATAGTATGTCCTTCTAGTCCCCATCTAATTCATAGGAACATGCCATCATCTACGTGGAAAGCCCTCTTCTGATCTGTCAAGGCCCTACAACCCTAAAGCCTAACCCCATGAGGGCCCTAGTACTTAATAGGCAGCTTTGGGGATGACCGTTGAAGAGAAGATTTTGCTTGGCAAGTGCGCATTGTAACTTCCGAATGTGAAACCCAAGCAAACCTCGCTTGTGAGCATCGTCCTCAGCCATTCGACAGGGCAAAACCCAGTCTCATGATTAACGCCCCGACATCAGACGCCGAGCTTGACTGTCGCACTTCCCCTCTTTTCCTTGGGTCATGTTCGATGGGTTTAGGGCTTGGGGTTCGTGATTCGCCTATGTGGCCTGCTCACACCACACGATCATGTTTTGGACATGTTTCTCCGTTGCGGAGAAATGCTAGAGTCTCACGACTTGGCGTCCGGTTTTCTTAACCCAAGACCTCAAAGCCTCAACCAGAAACCTTTACACCTAAATCTAAACCCCTGAACCCTCAAAAACAAGAACCTAACCCTAAACCCCTTTGAGGCTCTTCGAATGCAGGGCTACTTCAGCAAGAATCCTTTCCCGGGCTGCCATGAAAAGACGGTTCCCTTCGGACCTTCAGGGCTGTGTGATGCTGACTGGGACATGGTTCGAAGAAAGCCTCAGGAGGGAGAGCTGCTTGTACCTTGCCCGAAATTCCAGGTGCTACTATGCAGACCAGATGCTCCCGAAGTGGATGAGGAACATCATCGTCGTAACATCGACGCTCGGTTGCCCAAGGTCCAGCGGGGCTAACAATCGTCAACACTTTCCCTATGTGAAGTCGCTTTCGGCTTGGGCCGAGACCAAGCTTTCCTCACGAGGGGCCACGACACGCCGGATGCGACATGTCAGAGTCAGGCTATAAACCCTTCTTCAAAACTCTTGGAACGTGCTTCGGGAAAGCTCGGATGCATGGCACTTGGCAGTTTCGGTGGTCTCCAATCTGCTGCTACTTGCGCGATAACCAACACACCATCCGTCGCAATCTCTCCCGATTGGGCTCTTCCGTTCAAAAGGAGTCGAGGTTTCCGGCATGCCTTTGAATTGAATTGAATGATTAACATGAAAAGAGAGCCCGCATCCCACGACGGTGCGTGTGTGTGTGTGTCATGAAAGGTGGTCTTTCATGCACGGAGCAGGAAGGCAGAGGAAGGCGCAGTGAGTCGCTACATCCAACCCCAGGCACAGACCGTAGTCTGAGTTGAACATCAATCGGCCGAAACAGGGATAATTAGCCGGAAATTTGCCGGAGCCCCTGCCAACAGTCCAGGGCCACATTTCATGTTATATCGGCTGGTTGCGGTATGTGCTGGGGAAGCTGCCGGTTGCATGGTGCTGGGGGAAGGCAGAAGCGGCTTTTTCCAAGTCCAGTAAAGGTTTCATGATATTTCATCGTCCCCGTGGCATTGCCTGCGGTGCGGCCATGTGTCCCTATTCAGGGAAATACGCAGTCTCCAGTTCTCCTGCCTGAAGGAAGTTCTGAAATTGGGATATCAGGAAAACTGTGCTTCGAGGGGCGGGATAGAGGCAAAGAGGTGATGAAGAGCGCACGGCCCTAGCGGCATCGGCCGTGGACTTTTGCGACTCGCTTCTTGGATAGGCTTGAAAGTTTGCTTGATATTCGGTCGCTGTCATTTGTCCAAGGACGCTTCTCCTACTCTTGCAGGTTTTCCTCATCGTAACTGTGTGCCTTGCATGAACTGGTGCAGCAGGATGATGAAGATGATCTATGTATTTCTCTTTCAGGGATAAAGGCTGGAGGCAAGATTGAGGCCCCTGGATTAAGCTTCGAGGTTCCTACTTGCCGAAGAAGTCCAATGAGCTTTTTCCCATATTGATAGAAGTATTGTGGCCATGATTATAAGCACCTTTTTTTGATATCGTGATTAGCAGCGTTAGCACCCGAGATCAAAAACCCTGAACGCCGAAACCCCCAAGAAGAGGAAGGTACTCGAAGCAATGCAGTACTTCGTGGAAGTCAAAGTTCTATATCGAATGTTTTCTCCTGGAGGAACAGAGCTGTTTTAAGCTGCTCTCCGAAGCTCTGACCGCCCAGTCGCATCGCGCCAAGACATCTGCCATTCCGTATCGCCAGGAAACGACACTGAAGATGGGAGTAAAGAGTACAGGTGCTCAGACTCAGAACCCCCGCGAAGCGCAGCCTCCACAATCAGATTAACGCTTCCGCAACAAAGCCCTAAACCCCTAAACCCTAAACCGTAAACCCTAAACCCTATAATGAACAAGGCACAACCACTACACGGTTGACGTCGTCATCGCGGCCTACCTCGCTCCGCTGAACTTCTGGGCCTGGTTCTCTTCTCAGATGCTCTGGGGCTTCGAGGGTTTAGGTTCGGGCTTTTTGTTGACACTGGATTTCTGAGGTTACGGGGGAGCTTTCAGGACTTGAGGGTTTACATAACAGAAGCAGGAATCATGGATTTGACGGAGGCTTTGGTGCTCTTCTGTGGTTGAAAGTCGGGGCGCAACCTTGCGCCGGAAACAGGCTCAACAGCCGTGGCCGTGGGTAGAAGACTGACATCTCTCGAGCGCTTCTTGGGCCACCCCAAACCCTAGTTGAACCCTGCCAACCTCATTTCCGCAAATCCGAATCCGAGGCTACACCTCGCCCCGACTGAATCCGGAGCCGACTGCTCCCGCGAGACGTCGACACCGCGAAGTGTTTACTGGCGGCAGCCAAGAGGCTTGTTTGTGATCCGTATTCGGTCCAGACGCCCGCTGGTGCGAAGGTCGAGGTGCAGCAATCCCCTGTTTGGGGCATCGCGCATTCCTTTAGCCTGCTGTCTGTGTTGCTGTCTCGTCCTCATCGTCGCTGTCGGTATCCGGGTTTAGAAGGAGAGCTTCGTCTGCCAGCTGCGACGCGTTTGGGATTCGGGATCGGCTCAAAGCTCCAGGCCCTAAATTCTGATACCAAGGTTCCTGAATTCCAAATCACCTTGATCCCATGTTCCGTGAAGACTACGCTCCAAGCCAAGGCGTTGACGCCGGTGCCGGCCGGCGAAGCAGTGTGAAGCTGGAACTTTTCAGTTTTTTAAGTGCCGGATGCCGTCATCTCTTGTCTCTAATTTCAGCAGGCCAAAGTTCGCCGTTGCTGACAGCCGCAGCCTCTACCCCCGAGACCTGCGGAAAACGAGCACATGGTCGTCACATCGTCACGTCGGCAATTTTCCTTATGCTTTCGACTGTAATGATGCCACTGTTCCGGAGAACAGCTATTTCAGCATAGATCTAGTATTTTCGCCTTCATCTTCATTATATTCCTGGTCTTCATGCATCAAAACGGCAACTGGGCTTTCGGGTTTCATGATCATGTCTATGGGGTTGATCCACAAACTGGAGTGCGAACGTCTTGGGTCTCCTGGGCTTGGGGCAGAGAGCTCCCGTCCTAGTCAGTGAAGGCTAAGAGTGTGTGGCCCCCGGCTGTTTGGGATTGGGCTCGTGGAAATCGGCGATTCGCACGCCAGGACGGACGAGCCTTGCAGTGTGCTGACGATGAGCTGAAGAGAGACAGGAAGTTCCTCCTGAAGGCAGGGGCACCCCCAGTTTAGAGTAAAGCTACTGAGAGCCTGGAACACCCTCCGCCCTTGCCCTATTCTTATTCTTATTCTTGCTCCTCTTATTATTGCTACAATTTTTGGTTCGCTTTAACCCTGAACCCTGAACCCTAAAGCCCTGAACCCTTAACCCAAAGCCCTGAACCCTAAAGCCCTGAACCCCAAAACCCTAAAGCATTGTGAGGGCTGAGTGTCCCTGGGAGGCTCTGGTGAACCGGCCCCAGGCCTTGGACTTCGTCCATCCCTCCTTGCGCTTCGACCCCGAGCTGGTGAAGGCCGGGTTCTACGCGGCTCAGGTAGGGTATTTTGGGGTTTGTAGGGTTCAGGGCTTCCGGGTTTGGGATTAGGGTTTTGGTTTTTGGGTTTTGGGTTGAGGGTTTTGGGCTTAGGGTTCAGGTCAGGCTTTCGGGTTCAAGGCTCAGCAGCTCTAGTTCGAGCAGTCTCGATGGAGCTCGCTACCCCGGTATCCGAAACCATTCCATTCCATGCCATCAGGAATATGTTTGAGTTCCTTCGTTTTAGTCCTTGGTCCTTTTACCAGAGTGCACCAACAACTATGCGCATACCTAAACCACCCTAAAACCAAAACCCTAAACCCTGCACCCAAAACCCTAAACAAAAAAACCCAAAAGGGAAGCCCCAAGATCCTAGGCCCCAAACCCCTGAGCCAGGAAGCCCTAGGCCGTTCAACGCCTGAAGGCCCTGGGTCCTCCTTGCTATGTAGGGAGGAAGAGAAATTTTCAGCCCAACACTGCAAACCCTATAAAGCCTAAAACCTAAGCCACAACTCCCGCCCCTGGCCCAAAACTGTTCTGAACCCAAGACCCAAACCATTAAGGCATTTGGTGTTAGACCCCCCCCCAAACAAAAAAAAAACAAACCCTAAACAAAAAAAAGCTGCCTTTAGATTGAGTTCAAGGACGCGCCTTATCCTGGGCTTGAGGGGTTTGGGGTTCAGGGAAAAAGGCGGAGTCGTCGCAGGCCAGTTGCAAAAGGGTTTAATCAGGGTTTAGGGTTTTATAGGGTTTAGGCTTTAGGGTTTAGGGTTAATGGTTTTAGGGTTAGGGTTTTATAGGGTTTTAGATGGTTTTATAGGGTTTTTGGGTTGCCTTGGCCTAGGCTCCTCTCGAAAGGTGAGCCTTTGTGAGTCTAGGGTACTCTGGCCCTGGGTTAGGGAGGCAACGTCAGAGTACTGCGCGTCAGAGCCTCCGAACGCGTTGAGAGTCCCTAAAGCGCCAAGAGCCCTAAGCCCCAAAAGGCCCAAATCCAAAGCCTTAAGGCCCGACGCCCCTGCAAAGCCCCTGCAGCCCAATGCGGTGAACACCGCCAAACTTAGAGCTCAGAGTCTCTAATGGTAATCAGAACAACAGTATATAGCGGTATGGTAGTAAGGAGAAGAGCAACGCCAACAAGACTATGGGTCCCTGACGTCTCCTGCCAGATCGCACTCGGCCAAGAGTATCACCCGCCGAAATCGCCCCCATCTCCAAAGGAGAGGCCGTCCGGGCCTGGGCTGTTTGATAATGAAGCTCCGCCGCAAAGCACAGTCGGAGAACCTAAACCCAGACCTCAAGCTTAAAGCTTCGAGCTCATGAAGACAGCCGTGAAATCTGAGGAGGCGCGGGTCAGAAGCGTTTGGGGCTTACGTTGCAGTGCTTGTGATTACAGAGGTACATAGCGAGGCACTTCTGCAAGGGTTCCCGAATCCGTGAAACCTGAAGTCTTGCCAACAACCCTGTGTTTTGAAAATAAGCTGCCAACCGTCGCGAATTTTTGCTAATGATTTAGGGCGGCAGGTGCAAGTTCCAAAATGACCAATGCCAACAGCCTGCGAGTGCCCAACATGACCAGGAACGGAGGGACCCGGCGCACTTGCCAAAATCCCAACTTGGAGCTGCCTGAACGTGCTCAGAAAACGTAAAACATTCTAAGAGCAAAAGTTGCGACATTTGGGGATGCAAGGGCTGAGAGGGGGGGGAGTTGCAAAGGCCAGGCATGGCAGGCACTCCCACATTTGGGGAAATGGTCGAACAATTGGTGGGGGGTGGGACCCCAAGTCAAAAGGCTTTGGAGCCTCCCAGAGCATCGAGAAACACCAGGCGGTTCCGAGAACAGGAAAGGAAAGCTAGGTTCCTGAGTAGTAGCCTTTTTCCCTTTTTATTGTACGGTTCCCTTCTTAAGGCTGCATCGCAGGAAAGCAAGGGTACTTGCGATTAAGGGGTCACTCAGGAGCCCAGATAGGGCTAAGACAGCGCCCAGAGAACTGAAAAACTTTGCGGCGACTCCAAAATGCTTTTTCGCTTAAAGAAATAAAGAAAGGCAGCTTTAGGCGAGGGAAGGCTTCGCTGGGGGCGCTTTGCTACCTAAAGCTACGCTGCCAAACCCCCCAAGCCCTAAATCCCAAAACCCTGAATCCGTTTAAGGCCTAGACCCTAAGCCCCCCCAAACCCCATAATGCCCCACAAACCCTGTTCCTACACTACCAACCCTAAACCCCTAAACCCTAAACCCTACTGACCAACAAAAGCTGGCAAGTGCTTTAAGGTCCTTCTACGCCCTTGTCCGGGTCGGTCTCCTTTCTTAAAGCCCCGGCCCAGTTGCAAAAAACCCTGAACCCTAAACCCCCGCCTGCTCGGGAGCTCTTCTCCGCTGCTTGCTCGTGCGATCCTGGAGCCTTCTGCTTTCCTGACCCCCCCCTGATGTCCGAGGATTCGGCCCAACTGCTTCCTGCCCCCTTCCTTGGTCCTGCTGGGGTTGGACCCTACCCGGTGGAAGATGAGGATGAACATCCCCCTCACGTGAACACTGCAGAGGAGGGGAGAGGCGGGGGGGAAACGGATCTGGACACCTCTCAACGCCAAGCGGAAGCAATTGATGTAACGACTAGAGGGAGAGAGAGACAGCGAGGTACAGCAACTAGACATCCGCGTGCGAACGCAGCGTCAGACCTTAGGTATCTGGCATCCGCCTCAGATGCGGCCTGTGCGCTTAATGCTGCCTTGGGTGGCCCCCTCAACATGCAGGTTGACCCTGCCAATGCAGTCATCCCGGATAACACAAGCTTAGATAGTGTAAGACACCTCCACAGAGAGGAATCTCCGGAGAAGAAGCAGCGTCTCTCCACCAAAATGCCGGCATTTGGTGGAGGTTACCCGCCTTTGTTCCATGGTGAATCCCGGCCTGACCCGCCCCCTGCTGCAGCTGAACCTCCTTCAGGAAATGCCGCGCCCTCAGGACGAGTGCCTAGCCCTGGTTTGGCAACAGGTGCAGCTCCCTCGCTGCCCCCTCAGGTACGTCAGCCTCTCCAGAACGACAAAACCACTCCCCAACACTTCCACCTTGACGAGCCTGCGTGGGTAAACAGCATACGGGAACAGTTAGGACAGCTCGTGCAGGTTCAACATACTATGAGTACGCAGATACAAAACTCCGGGCGCAACCTTCGAGACCTCCAAACCGAAATACGACAACTCAGCACTGGACAGGAAGGGCTTGCTCGAAGGGCAGACCAGCAGGAAGCTAACATGCAACAAATGCAACGGGACCTCAAAGAACTTGAGAAAGAACTCCAGGTTCTCAAGTCCGCTCCCCCCACCCGTAGCGTTAGTCCTGCTCCTACCCGAGGCCCTGGATCTGCCACTCCCCGATCGGATCCCTTGCAAATGAGGGATGTTGACGAACTTCAGATTGTCATTGGAGGCTGGAATGAATGTAAAAGGGATGACATCGAAGCAGACGTCAGGCAAATTTTTGCCTTGATGAACGCGGCTGCCTTAGTTCACAGGATCTACGTGCCGTATGTCAGGTGTGGCTATTGCCGAGTGGAACTGCTGTACCCCGAACCCAACATATGGGCTCAGCGTAAGCTTCAAGGGATTGTGGTCCAGGCCATCAAGGATCTCAAGTATAAGTCTCAGGTAGCAGGACAGCAGCAGTCTGCCTTCTGGGCAGCCAGGAATCGATCACTGCAAGAACGTGCAAAGATTCGTGCAATCCTAAGCACCCAAGAGCTCTGCATCAAACATGTTGGGGACACCATCGTCGATCGGGATTGGCGAGGAAAGGTATGGGTTGCCAACACACAAGTGCTGCATCACGTAGAATACCGCCCTAGGCCCACCGATTCCCTAATGCTCATGGACGCCCGGGGAAATGAGACAGGATGGTACCTCGACATACCGCAAATGCAAGCTGTACTCGGTACCTCCAGGCATGCCATTCTCTCGCACTTTGACATGCACTAGGATTCCGGGGGGGAAAGCAGTAAATCAACGCCTGTACCTGAGGCGAGCTCCGGCACTCAGTTCAGACCTGAGGTCAAGACACAAGCACCCTTGGCCTTGGATTGTCTCACCTGGAATTTGCATGGTAAAGGTACACAACATGTGTCCACTTTGCTGCATGGCCTTGAAACCCCCCCTGACATCTTTTTCTTTCAGGAATTAGGTGATGTCCGGGGACTCCCAGAAGCTTCCAGCCGAACTGACACGGAAGTGGTTGCTGGAAAGGAATACCAAACCTTCATTGCGAACCCGATGCTTAGTCATCGATGCGTTGCGGTGCTAGTCTCTCTTGATTTAGAATTCACACAACCGCAAGTGCATGTGCATGAATTTGGGGTGATTGTCACCGGCATGATGCATGGGGTGCCTTGGGTTTTGGCTAGTCTGCACTTTCCGCATCAACAAAGGTGCGATGCTCTCGACACTTGGGAGAAGGGGACTAGCAGCCTTCTGGAGCATCTGTCAGGACTTGCATGGAATACGAACATCTTGGTTGGTCATGATTTGAACCAGGACGTACACGCTGAGGTCGACGAATTCGGTGGCATGATGCATTACAGGGAATTAGTTTTTCAGACAGGCTTGCATGTAAGTCCCGCCTTGGGGTCTACTTGGATCGCTAGGGGGTCGGAGAGCGCAATAGATTTTTACTTGTACCAACTGCGAGGTGGAGAGGTCAGTTTTCAGCTCAGAGAGGACCTTCGGGTCGCGTTACCGTCGGATCACAACGCCCTGCATCTGCGCTGCACCTTTCGGCATAAAAACCGTCAAGTACGCACGCTACGTCCCCGCAGGACCTTGTGTGGTAAGTGGGTGGTCGATGGGTCTAAGCTTTGGAATGAAACCAAGGACCATGCTGAATGGAGTGACGCCCTCATTGCTGAGGCTTTTCGACGACCCGACGTGAGCCACCGACCTGCCCCTCTGCGCTATGTTGACCCCCCCCACATTAAGGAGCTCATTGCCCGTAGGAAGAGTAGTCAGGACCCCTGGACCCGAGCGGCACTCATGCAGGAGATCCACCAACTCCGAATTGAGGCTAAAGCACAACATAAGGAGGAGCTCCTCAGGTCAGCTCGCTCGGGGGATTGCCGAGCGATAGCGCACATGCGCTCCAGTGCGGCCGGGGGCCAGAGTGAGGGCTCTTATGTCCAACGGGCTGGGGGCAAGGATCAGGCGGCCACTCAGCTCTTCTCCTTCTACCAGTCTAAGTACTCAGCCCCTCCGGAACTATGCCCCCCCCCCTGTCAGGTTCAAACCCTTGCGGATCGGAGCAGAGATCTGACCGTAGCAAGTGTTACCCTGGAAGAAATTCAGCAAGCCCTCCAAGGGGCTAGGCATGGAGTGAGCGCCGGCCTCGATGGGGTCACCTATGAAGGCATCCAGCATCTACTCCAGCAGGACAAGCAGGGGCGGATTCCGCGTTACTTCACTCAGCTAATTCAAGGGGATCAACCACTTCCTGAATCATGGAAGAAAGGACGGATCGTTCTCCTGGCAAAGACAGCGCGACCCTCTCAGCCGAAAGACCTTCGCCCGATATGCCTCACCCCCGTCCTCTGTCGAGTGTTCTCTAAAGTGCTAATGCGCCGTGTTCACAAACAGGCCCCTGAATATTCGGGCCACCAAATCGGATGCAGACCAGGAGTACAAGCCGCAGATGGGGTTATGGCAGCTCAGAGCACGATGCAGCTGCTAAGACAGGTGAAGGGATCGGCATACGTTGCCAAAATAGACATCAGAGCGGCGTTTGACAGCCTTAGCCAGGCAGCCGTCTTGGTGTGGCTGCTCAGGTGCCAGCCTGCTAAGGAATGCGACGTCCTCTACAAGCTCCTCAGCGGTACAAGGGTTGAGCTGTCTCTGGCGGGGCAGACCCGCAGCATCGACCTTTGTCGGGGGCTTATGCAGGGCACTGCATACTCAGCCGATGTCTTCTCTCGAGTCATGGACTACTTCCTTTCTCCTTTGTCTGACCGTTTTGATGAACTGTTTCCGGATTGGACATGTCCCAATCTAGGCCTTCCGCATTTCATTATTTACGCCGACGACATCATGTTGTTCGCAGACACGCCGGTCGCTCTCCAGTTTAAGCTCCAAGAAGTAGTTGACGTCTTGTCCACCATAGGACTGTCCGTTAATCCGGACAAAAGCCGTGTCATGAGCCTGCATGATGGGAGCCATCCAGGAATTTGGTTACGAGGCCGAGCGCTGCCTCTGCAAGTAGAGAGTGCCTTGGTCTTCCTCGGCATTCCGCTGGCCCATACCAATAATGTGCAAAGCATCATGTCGCACCTCATGCGAAGGACGAGCAATGCGTATTATGGTTTCAAACGAATTATGGATGCGGGTGAAGCCCCCATCTCGGTGCACCTGCACATCTTTGAGACGTTTATAACGGCTAAATGGGCGTGGGCCTCCCCCGTTATGGTACCCACCCGTACCATGCTCCGGCGTCTGGAGGCTGCTAAAACCACATTTTTACTATCGCTCTTCAGGGTACCAACAGATCCGCTCTTAACTTGGGTGGAAAATGTTGTGTCGCGTCGTCGTGCAGTAAAAACGGTGTGCAAACACAATGGTGGTCCAGACTGGCGCGTTACATGGCTCACGCGCCTCTGGCAATACCTAGGTCACCTCTCGAGGACCCCCCACCGCCAGCCTATGAAGCGCCTTCTCAATTTTTGCAGCAGTGCGTTGATTGGTCCTAATCTCAGACCAGCATGGCTCTCTGATCTTATGATACGCAGGGTACAACGTGTGTACGCCACGTGGCCTTGGGCAGCCGCGATCCCGTATTGGGAACAGTTTGCTCGCGACAGGACCCAATGGAGTAACCATTGTACCCAATGGGTGAATCATTGGATCGACAAGGATGCGGAAGGATTAGCGACCTTCGAGTATCTGTGTGATCGGCAGCTTCTTGTCGTTAGGAATAAGAAAGGCATCTTGGATTGCATGCTGCGGCCCTCCAAGGATTTCTTCGAGGAGCCCTATGGAGCTGCTATGCACGTAATTCAACCTGCATGTCTTAAAAACCCAGGCCTTTTCCTTTGGGGCAAGACTCACGGCAATCAGTGCATGATACTTTGCATGTCAGGATCCCATTTGAATCAGGTTGTGCTGGTACAAGTGAATGCATCTAATGATACCTTGTTGGCGCGCAGTATTGCAGTTCTCAGGTTGGCCTACAAGGTTCTTGGAATTTGCGAGCATTTTGGACAAGCAGGTAGCGTCGTTTTGCCCCCACAATACTTGCACCGAGCCGTCTTCCATCGGCATGTCCCCCTACCCTTGCTGGCAGATGCCACTGAGGCGTTAAACCTCCTGGACCGGCAGGGAGTTCAACGTCTTTTCTTGGAACCCCCCCTAAGGAGGAAAGCCGATGGTGTCGTCTCCTTAATAGTGCGGACTTTGTACCGCAGCACAGCAAGTACCTGGTTAGGACCTTAGACTTCTCCCATGCCTACTTCTGTGAAGGTGCCCAGCAACTTGCGGATGCGCTTAAGGATAGCTGTCCCTTTCTTAGGTAGGAGTAAGTGGGGACCAGGGGGGGGGGGGGCAGGACGTCCATGATATTCCTGCTGTTTGCTGTTTGTAGTGGTAGAGAGCTCATCCCCCTTAGTGAAGATCATGTCAATCGAAGCACATGCGATGCACCTTCTTCATCATGGAGAACCGGGCTACCCTGAGGTGCTGGAAGTGGCAAGCTCGCTTGCTAAGGAAGTTGGTGGACCTGTTGCCCTGGGGGCATTCGTGAGAGTGAAAGCGGGCGTTAGAGTGCTCTCCCGAACGTACCCTGAAACCACGAAGCTGCTCACGGCGTTTCTGGCCTCAGAGTTCCCTGGAGACTTCTTCCTTGCAATACAAGTCCAGGTTGATGTGGACAAGCCCCCCCACAAGGATGTGCGCAATACCTCGATGCCCACTCTCCTTGTCAACCTTTCCAAGGGAGCATCTGGAGGCACCTGGGTTGAGGCCCCCAACGGTGATGAGGTGGTCCGCTGCCCAGGTGGAGTGTCCCGCCCTGGTACCATCCTACGTGGACATCGATATAGACTCAACGCAAGGACCTTATGGCATGCGTCGGTCTTGGAAGGACCCTCTAGGGTTTTGTTACTTGGATGGGTTCCCGCAGGATGGAACAAACTCAGTGCTGAGGACATCGATGCTTTGTGCTGCTTGGGGTTTATGCCGCCGCCTTCGGTAGATGACAGCGTGGACTGTGTGCCTCTTCCCCCAGGTCCCGGGGGACTACAGAAAAGCCTCCGAGAGTATGGCTTTCACGCAGGTCCCACTACGGCCCCCCCACGGGCGGGCCTCTGGGGCGCGCACCAACTTAAGCCCACGCGGGTGCCCTTGCACATCTGCTTGTCTTCAGATGATTCCACAGCCGGATCAGCCTTGCACGAAGACAGTGACGTCGTATGTATTCTGGAAGGATGACTGAGCACTTGCACTACTAGGTGTACGTAATTCTTTGCCTTGTACAGAAGAAGTATTGCGTACTGCATGCTGTTTGTGCCACTTGCATGTGCATGTTTTGCATGTTCATGTTCAGCATGTTTCACTTCTGCATGGCTCCTTGCCTGAATTGAATTTGTTTGAGAATTTATGTGGGTTTTTGGAGATGTGGCCTGAATTCGAGGTTTATTTTTGTTCCATGGTAGGTTACATGAGGTAAGCGTATGGCATGTGCAACATACCCCGTGCGCTGTCTGTCATCTCTGAGGCACAGACGCTGGAAGCCAGGTTACAATCAGCTCAGGTACTGTGATGCACATCACCCGAGTTCAACCTAGGTGCGCGGTCTTCATACATAATGACTCTGATCTGCAGTGCTCGAGCTAGAGTAGTCTGTACTTCCTGCTGCTTTCGCCTACGACATCCGACATGGAACGTGTCCCCCCCAAGCCGTCTTCCACCGAGATGCCTTCTCTGTGGGTGGTTTTCAAGGCCACGGTGATGGAGCAGGCCGAAGCAATGTGGCAGGCGACTCCCTTGACGTGGACATATGTTGGGATGTTCTTCGCTGCTCTCGCTGCGATTCAGTGCCTGAAGATGCTCTGGCGCCGACGTGGGCGGTTCTTCCGCTCCTCTGCCCATGGCCCTCCGGCGCCCCTGGGAGTGAACACAGCGGACCATGACGCGTCTACTCAAGCTGCAATGATGGCCGGAACTCAAGCAGCCACGATTGCCGGCGGAACACTGGCCCCGGGGGCGGGCACAACACTTCCCCAGCAAGTGGTGGACTTCATCATTGAAGAGGTCTTGCGCATCGTCGAGTCCAAGATGGGAGATATTGCAAGGATGGGAGACATGGGCCTGCTGGACAAGTTTTCTGCAATGCTGAGTGAATTGATGAATTCAGCGAATTCGACCTTGCACTTGAAGATTGATGCATTGGACTCGGCTCTGCAGGACACCAACACCCGCCTTACTCGGCGTTTTCAAGTCGTGGATGCGGCCTTGGAGAAGATCACGGACATCGTCTACCCCCTCAAGGACTTGCTTCCCCGTTTGGACAAGCTGAACGGCCTCTTCAAGGAAATCCAGGAAATCCAGGACATGCTAAGCGCGATGCAGAAGGTGGTAGACACGATCGTGCCTAGTGTACAAGGGGCGAGCAAGGCGGAACAAGCCCGCTTTGCCACACTGGATGGCGCACTGAAGAGCAAGATGGATGCGGTCCAGGCAGCTCTGGAAGCGGTCGTCAAGACGGCTGCCACACAAAGCACGACGACGCTTGACAAGCTGGATGAGGCTATCCCCCGCCTGCAGAGTGCCATCGTCAAGATTGACAACATGCCAGACAAATTGGATCGTACAGAATCTCTGTTCAGGGAGAGGGTGGAAAACCTCCAGCAACAAGTTGGGAGCCTTATGGGTTCCACTCAGACATACGCCAGAGAGGAAGCAGGGCAACTCCGCAACCTCATCAAGGCCACAGAAGCACTACAGAACGCCATGGTGGAGTTGAAGGCGGCCTTTGGGGCCCCTCCCGCAGACAGCCCTGGCATCACCCCTATGTTGGAGCTGGCCCGCAACACAGACAGCGGCGTGCAGGAACTTGGTACAGTGGTGCAAGAGCTGTCAGTGGTGCTGACGGAGATCAAGGACAAACTGCCAGACCGACCGCCGTATCGACCTCCTCCTACGCAACAGGGCCCACAAGAGGCTCCGGTCGTCCCGCAGGCGCAGCAAGCAGGAATGCCCTCGGTGATTGATTTGTCTTCCCGCCTGCCTCCGGGGCCGTCGCGCTACCCTATGCATGCAAGCCCGGCACCGGGAGGAGTGGCAGTCACTTTCCCTTCGGGGCGTACGATGTACGCCACCGAAGATGAGATCCTAGGGTATCCGATCCCTGGGAACACTATGCCCCAAGGGCCTGTGCTGCAGCCGTACCGTCGGGGCTAGGCTGTTTTTGATGCTTTGGTTGTTTTGAGCCTCCTGGCGCACACAGATCCTTGCATGTGGCAGCAGTTCTGCAGCACGATATATAGCATGACCACTTGAATTTATTTTGTAGAATTTGTTGAATTTGTTGTGAAACAGTGCATGACACGTCGAAGCACGGTACATTGGCACCACGATGAATTTGTTTGCATGCCGCACCACGATGCATGGCACACTCGTGCCTCCGCATGTGCATGCTGTACGCTATGCATGCCGCATGATGAATAACTACTTTCGACGAGTGCTTGCATGTGGTGGCGCTATTTCCTAGGCGATTCTTGGGTTCTTAGGGCCCTTTACTTTGTTACACGTCACCGCATGAGGCATTCATGAATGCATGTGTGGTCATGTAGGAGTTTGTGCTGCCTGCCCTGAAGCTGCTCTACAGCTGACCTGCTTGTGATGCAAAATCTGCCAGTGAGACGCTCTTGCCAGTGAGACTCTTTTGCAGCCTTCACCTGACCCTCCGAGCGCCCAAGCCCCAGATCTGCCAGTGACACGCTTCTGCCAGTGAGACTCTTTTGCAGCCCTCACCTGACCCCCCGAGAGCCCAAGCCCCCACCTGTGTCGCAACTAACGCTCCTGACTGTTTCGGGGTCAAGGGATTGGGATGTAGGACTCTTTCGGGGCCTTGTGAGTTTTTGCTTGTTCCTGTCATGTCCGAGAGCCCAAGCCCCCACCGAGGTCCACGTGACAAAGCTGTCCACAAGCTCCACCCACTCCATTTAGGGCAGTAGACAGCAACATTCGCCACAGCAACAGGCTCAGTGACGAGTGAATCAAGGTTTCTGATTGGGTGCCTTGGTCAGAGGTGACATACCACACTAAAGTGAGGAGCGAGCTACTGTGCTATAATCTTTTGAGTGCAGCGCGCAACTTCTCAGCTGTGTTTTTGGGCTTCGCCCTCCCGCCTGACCTTCCTGACCCCTGGGGTCGCCTGCTTGCTGCCTACTGACAAGAGCTCCCGCTTGTGGCTGTCCTTTATTAGCACTCCCTCGTAACAAACCACTAACCCCCGACAACCGAAGCCATGGATCTCTGAATTCTGTACCGTGGTACTACTGGATAAATCGCCATTGCTGGACAGCTGCCCGGACGAACTGGTTTTCGGAACACGAATCAGGACCCGCTAACACGACATGGCAATCTTTCGACCTCGCCCTGATTTGCAGGGCATACCACATTTGAGGACGTTCGTACCGTTGTGGGACCAGGAGGTGTCTGATCACCTCAACTGCATGCCGTGGCCCCTTGCGTGCAGAGTCGCGCACGCCATACGAACCTTTGTACAAGGAATGCGGACTGCATGGCAATGGTGGGCCCTCAACTGCAGACAACTCCGACAATACCTGGAGGAGCTAGAGGACGCGACGCAAGAGTTTCCAGTTTTGCGCCGAATGCAACAGCAGTGGACAACCACCTGTGAAACGGAAGAAAGTTTCGTGCAGTTCTTCATCATGGAGGTATACATAAGAATAGAGATGACTTCGGAGGCCATCTCGTGGCCCGTCACAGGCCAACATCTCCCATGCTGGGAAGTGCTACTACGACAGAGTCATGCCCCTGAGCTCTGTGGCTGATAGTGTTGCTTGCGAGCAATACGGCTGACAGTATGGACCTGACCCGCAGTGGGACACTGCCTGCTGGAGATGAGAGCCCTGGCCGACCAGGACTATGACAAGAATTTACAATGTCTGCATGTCAGCCACATCCTGCATGTTTTGCAAGTGAATTTACTGCATGTGCCACGATGATCTGCTTGCTGCCTGAAGCATCACTGCATGTGAAGGAGCCATGGTGCCTTGACATGAGGAAGGGTGGAATTTGAATCCAGCAGAACGAATTAGGCATCTGTGAATTTACGAATGCCGCATTGCGGCTGGATGAGCACTGGGAAGAAAGCCTGGCTTTGCACGACTTTGACACCATGAGTATCTGCACGACGCAACTTGACCTCTGCATGAGTGACACCACGATATGACGTCGCCGAGTTTCTCCTTCGGAGCCGGTTTCTGCATGGATGAGAATACGAGATGCATGATGTGTATATGAAGTTTTCGATGAGTGAGTTGGTCAGCCTGTAGCAGTCAATCATATAGACCATTTTGAAACAGCCTTGTCTCTAACTTGTGTACTCCAATGAGAGTAGTCGTGACGAGAGCCGGGGTTCAAGAGTTGTCTGCTTATGCCTATTGTCTTATTGGTTTCTTTTATCTTCCTACTCCCGTTTTCTGTCTTGAGCCCTGGCCGGTCATGTGCCTGTAGTAAGCTCGGGACGGAACCTGCCATGCCTGCTTGTGCGAGTGTGTGAGTCGAAATCCTATAAGTCCTTGCTAAGCTGGGCGGGTGGGAAAAAACCAGATAGGGGCCACGAACCCGAATGCAGACACGCGCAACGCAGATATCGTCAAAAAAATAACTACAAGGAAAGGCATATTCATACGACCG